GAGCACTGAGCTTCCTTACTCAGTCAAGACTGTGTCTGCCTCATAAATGCTCCATCAAAGTAAGAAGCAGATTGAGAAAATATGTTTTCAGGGCCATACGTTCTTAAGATGGTACCATCTGTAAAATATAAGAACGTAGTGAATCAGCTTACATCATTCCAGCTTTTAACCTAGGCCTCTGCAGGGTCAGCTGAGAGCTGGGCCTTAAGCTACTGTATTGCATTTACCGCTCATAGATGAGGCAGTTCCTGCTTGCAAAAAAGGAAGCAGATGTTCCACCAAATCTAATTTGATTTGATAAGAGCACTCACTATAACACGGAGCACCTCACAACTAGATATCCTGTTACACTTATTGCTCAGTCAAGCCATTGCGTAATCCATTCAGTGCGACTATGATACCCTAAATCAGGTTATTTGGATTCAAGTCAATCTGTTCATTTCCCTTCTTTATGTAACAGAGAGGTCTTAGTCTTCCCTTTGTGGTGCCAGTTGGATGGAGATGAATCCACTGTGTACAGAAGAGGAAGAAGGCTCAGAACTCAGTATTCTGTGACTCTGTTACCTTTAGCCCCATTATGATCCCTCCGTGCTCAGGTGTCCTGCAAATGTAAACCAGTTAGCCATCGGAAGTTCTCTGTTCTTTTTGTTTTTGGGAAAGATTTGCAAGGGAACATTTTTCACCTGGGCTACAGTATATTCAACTTCAAACTGTGTCAGGGCATGGATTCAGTGCTGTAGCTATCATTGATTCCTCACAATTTAAGTCTAATGGCAACAATAGTACCGATGCAAGAAGTAGTGTGCTTTATTTGTAAGGAGGCCATGGTGTCGCCATGCAGTAAATCCTACTTTCATTCACTACAGGTTGAGTTGTGTTCCGTCACAGGATGTTGTTCATGTTTGTTTGCCTTTTAAGTCACCAAAGCTGCAATTTTCCTAAAGTGTTTTAGTTGCCTAACCCTGACCATACAATAATAAAATAACCATAGTGTATTTGTAATAACCACAATTTTTCCTTATCTTAACCATACTATAGTTGCCATGAGCAGGTATTGTGCAAAGCGAGAAAGATGTTGCTGTTGGATGTAAGAAAACATTAGCATTAGACCGTAACCCAAGGTTATACAAAATCATTGCAAGGTATTTGTACACTCCATACATTTGTATTTGAGTGCTTGTAGGCCAGCAAATATTTATCTACCATAAGTTTATTCCTGGCAATGTAGAGAAGTGTTAAAGTCCTGACTACAGCCCTGTATGGACTGTACTCACAGTGGTGATGTCAAAATAACAGAAAACACCAATAACTAACAGCCAAATAAATAACACCCCAGAGTAGCTCTGGGGTGAGAAAACAAGGCTGGACAGGTTTCAGGTCCACACTAAAACTTATCACAGACCACAGCACAAGCGACAGCTGTCTCCTGACACTGACAATCAGTCATAGATATGAGTATAGGAGATGGATGTGAGCAGAGAGAGGTACAAGCTAGACATTATATCCATGGGAAATAAGAAAAATGTCACAATGTCCTGCGTTCTGTCATTAAACACAAAATCTTTTTAATTTTTCACCCTGAACCCAGTCACTCGGTAGCACAGTTGTCTGACAACGAACAGATATGAATTCAAAATGAGCCAGTGAGTCAGACATGACAGAAAGTGAGCCTCCGAACATGGCTGGAAATTGTGAGAGGGTTCCCACCCCGTCATTTCCAGGTTGGAAATCCACTCCATTCCTGTCTGTGGGTCTGAGGTTATTGGATAAATTGATTTCTAGCCGACCTTTACTGCCCGCTCCTCTGATGCAAAGAGTTCTTAATGATCTTGTGCTGTCAGAGGTGCTGAAATCACAGGTCCCTACAGAGACTATTAGTCTACAATACACGGGCTGGCATTATGATGAAAGGAGTGAACAGTGTTGATATGCGGCAGGTTGACAATAGGAACACTTGTTAATGTAATGCAGTCCAATATAACAGCCATTCAGTGAATACTACAGTTGTGGAGCTTGTAAAGTGCAGTTAGAGACCTCAGAAAGGTGTTGATTCAACCTAATGATCATTTTGAAAAATTTTTAGTGTTAGCGATAATGTATCTATACATGAACATAAAGATATGTTAATCATACATTATAATCATTCATTATTTAATGGTTATTAGTTTACAATCTATTGTAGGTATGTATTTAAAAGGTTTATAGGCTGCATTTCTATGTCACAGTTTTCTTTGTTAAACTTTTGTTCATATTTTTGTTGTATTCACATTGTTTTAATCTAAACATTAATTCTAGTGTGGTTTACTTTTACCCTCCTTATTTGCTGTTATTGTTTGTTTTTGCAAAGTTCTGCACATCTTTGTCACAGCTCTTAAATTACCAAATTAAATGGTTCCTGTTATAAACCTGACTCAGGGCCTTTGTCACACGCTAATGGAAGGTGTAAATGTATTTATTAAACCAAACATAACAGCTCATTATGAAAATATGTTAATGTTAAGCATCAGTGGTGTAAAGTGTGTGTGGATGAGTGGAGGGTGGGTGTAAGAAATGAGGGGCATGAGGAGATGAGATGTTTTTAAATCTCCACAAAAAATTACAGAGTTAAAAATTCTTCAATGTACATCTACTCCTTCTTCCTCACTAAAAAATGTCAGAATTTATGGACATGCAAATACTCTTTATTTAACTGCTGGACAAGCAATGTCTCCTACTTGCCTGAAAAGTCCATTCTCAGGGTATGTGCCTTTTTCCATGCAGACATTTTGACATCTCACAGTAGGAAAGGACAGGTGTAATCAATACAGTTAATGATGGCTGATTCAATGTAGCTGCTTCACTTTCAGGGTCCTGGTACTGTTTATGCCGTCACAATGACATGTGAATGCAGCCATCGTTATTAGTAACACCTGTGCTTTTCCTGCTAGGACCAGTCAAAATGTCTGCTGTGAAAAAGGCCTACTGGCTTTCAGACTAGCCGGATGTCATGTAGGTGTCGGCCACCTACACTTAGATCCAGGGTCAAACACACAACGGATACATACCACAAACATTATGATGAAAGAAGTGAACAGTGTTGATATGCGGCAGGTTGACACAACAATAGGAACACTTGTTAATGTAATGCAGTCCAATATAATAGCCATTCAGTGAATACTACAGTTGTGGAGCTTATATTGTGTAGTTAGGAACATAAAATAAAGCACTGGTTCCAAACCTTTTTCCTTAAGGGAACCCTTTTCTATCCTTGAGTTAACTGACAATGACTGAGTGACACGTGTTATGGAGTTTATGTAAAACGAGCGACCTGAATGAATTTTGAGCAGATAAGTTCCTGTGAATATTGATTAGAGATGAGTTTCCCTGATCTTTTTTGGAACTTTTTATACAGTTATCTGTCTGTATTATGTGTTTTTTGAATTTTTAACAATGACACACAACATCTAGTGTTTTCTTCTCATTGTTCTATTAGCTCTTTGGTTGTTTTAACTTTTTTAATGCAGGATGAGGCTAGCAAGACAACTTTCTTAAATAATAATAATAAATATAAAAATAACAAATCCATTTAGTTTTCTTCACAGAAATGAATGAAATGTTGAGGTATAGGCCAACTGTGCGACCCCCAACCCCCATGTTGGGAACCGCTGACATAGAGTAACAATGAGCAAAACAGTTTAGTGGATGGGGACTTACTAAGTAGAACATAGTAATAAAATAAATATCAGCTGATATATTGTTATACTATATTATACTCTCAATATTTGTATTGGCCTCAGAAATTCTGTATCAATCCAATCAACACCTGTTAAGTTAAACATTACAGTTTAAACTGCTTTAATGTTTTTCTGTTGGAACCCAAGGCTTCTATAAAGCTTATTATTAATAATTAAATAATGAAAAGTAAATTAGGGATCTGGTTCAGTGGTTCCCAAACTTTTCCCTTAAGTGAACCCTTTCTATTATTTATTAAACTGACGACCCCTGCTTAATAAACATGGATATTTATGGATATTTTATATTATATTCAAAACTGTATAATGAACCTAAATAATGAACACAATTGCAAGAAGTTTGTGTATGAGTGATTTGGATGGATTTTGAGCAGATTATTTCCTGTTTATGGAACTGTTTTATAGAATTGTCTGTTAAAATACAGACAATTTATTAGTTTATTGTCCCTGACGCTGGGCCACTGTTGTATTAGACAATTTACTTAACAATTTACTCTACATTGATTTCTTCACAGAGGTGAACCAGGGATATTGGCTATTGATTAAAATCAAGAAGACCTCACGACCCCCCATGAAGCTCTGGTGACTCCTAGTGGGGGTCCTGACCCCAAAGTTGGAAACCACAGATCTAGCAGCTTATGTCAGAGAAGTGTTCCCCTCTGTTATTACTGCGCAAGGACAGGGCGACTTTTACCGGTAAAATAAATCAATACATTTTAATAAAATCTAAATATTACATAAAGATAATAGAAATTAAAAATGTAACTTAAGCCAAAAATAACAAATGAATGAATAAACAATACCCCCCACTGGGGATATTACAGAATATTGGGTACTACAAGATAATGAACAGCTCCTGTATCTACACTGAATGTGAAGTATGATTTGCTCTCATCCATATTTGAACACCATCCTCTGCAGCAGGTTAGCGCTGGCCGCCTCCTCCTCCCATGAAACCCTGCTCGTTCTGAGGCTTGGGAATAATGTCGCTGTCACTGTTTTGGGGGTGGTGGTGGTGGTGGGGTGGGGGGCTCTAACCCGGTCACAACGCGGGGAAGTTGCTCGCGGTTTTTCTGCGTTGCCATGGGGTTTTGTAAAACCTATTGACTGCGATAGGGTCCCTTCTTTTCTTTGAGTCTGTCTTTGTAGAATAGGAGGTGGAGGAGGAGGAGGAGGAGGAGGAAGAAACCGCTATTACTTTTTTCTTACAGAGGCTTGGGGTGGGGTGGGGGCGATAGTAGCATCCAGGGAGAGGAGGAGGGAGGAGGAGGGAGGAGGTACTCCGGTTCAGACCAACTGCGAGGCGAAGCGGCGTTACGTCGGCAGTTAAACCTCCCTCTGCCCTCTTCCAGCGGCGGAGAAACAATTCAACTTTCTGAACGGCTGCCGCGGCATGAGTTGCACCTGAGGGTGAGTTCACACAATTTCTCTGTTTTCATATGGCCCGAGAAAGAAAAAAGAAAATGAATGTCCGTTTTTCACATGTTCTCCCTCTTGAGTGTTGTTAGTTGTTTCACTTGTTACAAATGTTTAGCTAGCTTTGAACACGGAGCTCTCAGTCGGTGCCAGGATCTGAGCACCTGCACGGCTGCTCTCCATGGCAGGTGGCTGCAAACTGCAATTTAAAGAAAAAAAATTAAATATGGGGGGGGGTAACGAAAAGAGAAAAGAGACATTTTGGCGCAGGGAAATGTGGTCACGACTCCTGTTGGAATATCTTCAGTTTTTCACGAGTGGAATAATAACTAGAGTTGAGCTATAAGCTGTGGTGTGGGAGGTGGAGGACTAACCTAGCTCAACCAGGTTTACCCACAATACAGAGGCACAATTACCCCTCTCTTCTGTCCCCTAGCACAGAACATTAACAGTGAGCTTTCAGGCTGTTTTAAATGAACTACACGATGCAAGAGTGCTACAGTTGATAAGTATGATCACTCTGAGTTATTAATCTTTTCCATATTTGTGTGAGTGGCTGTGCCGGCTGATAATGATCAGAGCCTGGAGATCACTCTCTGCCATCCCTCTCATTTACCACCACACTGCCCGTTACACAGTAATGATCTCAGCCTGCTTATCGCCGGCTCTCATGCTGAATACTGAACCGCAGGACTGAATCATACCTTGTCACCCAGTGTGGTGAAGAGCATTATCTCACTCTCTATTGGCAATAAATGCACATTCCCTCCTGCATGTGATGTGACAGGCGGATAGTTGTGTTCAGTGGGGGGCCAAAAAATGCACCAACACACATCTGTGTGTGCCCCGCTGACGGTTGAAGCACAGCGATATTTTGTGTGCAGATGTGAATGTAGTAATGTACCGCTAATGCCACTTCAGCACATTTATTGTTGTAGTGTGAAAAGGTAAGTGGGGTTGTGTGGCACTAGAAACAGCCTTGAAAGTGTATGAAAGGTTGTTTTACTCTGGAGATTTTTTTTCCACCTCCGCTGACACCTTTGACAGAGCACTGGAAGGCGTTTTGGAGCAAAACCTGTTGTTTTCACAAATGACATCTTCTTTCTGTTAATTCTTCTCCACACTTAGGGAAATTGCTTTTCATTCCGTGTTTGTCTGTTGCACGAGTGTAAGGCGTGCACGACACAAGATTAGACTGACTGATGAGGCTTCAGTGAGTGCGATTAAAATCACATTACAGGGACATTTAAAGCAACGGCTTGGTGCTGTGGTTGTTGCCTATAGCTGTAGTAATTGATGGGCGTGTGGATGGAACAGTTGTGCGTTAGGCTTCTGTGCTCGGCGTGTTTATAGACCAGATATATCTCACATGGTTAACGTAGTGATTCCCTCAGTATGAATATTTACAAGCTATGCAAATTCCTCACACGGTGTGTGGAAGTGCTGCGCATTGTTCAGATGTTGGTTTCCTCACTGTTGTTGTTGTCTCATTACAGATGATGCCTTTGAGGGAATCCCATGAAACACAAATGTTTCATAGTTTACCCATAATTTGATATTTGTATTCCTTTTGATGCTTTCCTTTCATTGTTTACAGCACAGTCTGCTCGGCCTACATAGTCTGCAACACAGTTTGTGGTACATTTTCCAAAAATGAACATTGTGCTAAACATACTTCCACTAAAGCTCCTGATAGTATTTCTACTAATACTGATCCTGGCTGCTTAATGTTAAACACAAAGACCTCCTGAAGGTCACACTGACATTAGTGAATGTAATGATCTCAAGCTGCTCCTCAAGAAGAGCCGATCCTATTTATATTGTCCTCTGTTCATCCCATCAGGCCGAGCCAGAGGCACATATGTTCTCAAGTGCTCATAGCCAGAATGATCAGGTAAGTTGTCTGAATTTAATTTCTAGGCCAAAGACGAGAGCCGCTAATGGCACTTGTCATCACACGTGGTCCCCAGCTTCTCTGTATTCAGGGCAGTGGTGCTTTGTGTCCAGAAGTAGGTCGAATGCTTCTCACCAAACAATTTGAGCCGGAGCCAGTAATTGGACAAGCAAAGTGTCGACCATCTCCCAGCCGGTCCATGTCAGCCAGCCCTCTCACCACTTAATATGCAGCTCCGACCTGACGCATTTCATGGACCTTTTTCATCCTTTTAATCATTTCGATTACGAAATGCAGGAAACAGAACATCCTTTGTAGCTGCAGGCGGACTCATTCTTCATATGTTTGTGGCCGGCTTACTCATTCTGAATATGTCCAGAAACACCCACTCATACTAGCTGTAACTCTTAGTAGCACTCTCATGTAGGTTTTATTTATATAGTCTAATATCACAGATTTACCTCAAGGGCCTTTACAACCTGTACTGAATGCGACTTCCTTTCTCCTTTAGAATGTTGATTTGGATAAGAAAAAAACTCTTTTACATGCAATAGATGTTGTGCATGCAGACCGACGTAGTAAAATGACAGAATGGAAAATCAGAACGACAGAATCAGTAGATTGCAAACATTGCTAAGCTCAAGCACACCATTCACCCAGGTAGCAGAAAATAAACAAACACACAGAGAGAGAGAGAGAGAGAGAGAGACTGGATCTCCTGGAGGATGAAGATCCAGATGCAAAACATCTGGAATAAGGCAACGACAGCCAGCGGAGAGGAAGTTCTTGGCTTAATTGATTCATTGAGACTGAGACCGGACCAATAATGGTAACAGGCACAGGGCCTGAAGTCATCAAAGAAGAAGCAATTAACTGAAAGTTAGGGTGAAGCGATGAGTTTCAAGTGCGGATTTAAAGGAGAGTGTTTGATGTCAGCAAGGAGAGTATTCCAGAGGAAGATAGCAGCCAGCGGATGTCTTTTTAACTCTGGGGACAGACAGAATCAGAATCAGAATCAGAAGGACTTTATTGATCCCCGGGGGGAAATTTGTTCAAGGAGCCCTGTATTCTGAGAGTGGAGGTATAGGGCTGAAGGATATCACACTGGTGTCAGACTGGTGGGCCCATTTAGAAAAAAACGGTGACCCTGGTGATTACTTTAATGTGGTGATGAAAAGAGAGTGTAGGATCAAACCTAACACCAAGACAGCTGACTTTTAAACTTTGAGAAATCACACAGCGAAGGGTTCAACTTGTGTGTGTGTTCGTGTGTCGAGCAGAGCCAATGACCAGCATCTAAGTTCCAACCCAGAAACATTAGGGTTAGATATGTAAATGATAAAATACCAATAATAAATGGGCTTTACACAAAATGATATCTCACTTCTGCACACAGGTTGAAACTCACCTGAACCCACACCTTGCCGTGTTGTTTTCATCCTCTGCTCGCGCATCTACTTCAAAGACTGGACCTACGTTCAGAGGCAGGATGTGCTCTGACGGTGTGATCGATACAGGCAGGCTGTGATTTTGTCTTGAACTGTTCATATAGGTGTGTGTTGGCCTCGCAACAGACCTGTTTGGACTTACAGGATGTGTGTGCACTCTGTTGTCCTCCATGAGAGAGGAAGGGGTTGGGAGTGAAAAGCAGGGACACAGAGAGCTCTTTCTTTGTGCCCACAGTGTCTACACCTGGCTTTGAACAGAGCAGACTGAAAGATGTATGTATCAAGATTCAGTTGAGCCAGGGACCACTGGAACCTGGATTCTCCATGTTGAAAGGTTTAGTATCTGACACTGTCTGCAAATGCATTTAAACCACTCTAAAACGTTCGTCTGATCTGTGCACAGTGTGTAGAAGATGCGTCTCTTATCAGCATCGGCAATGTAATTTCAGACTATAATTCAGTCTGTCAGATGGAATCTGGAGTATCTGATGGGTATTAGAGATTAGAAAAAGCAGCCTAACAACAGAGAGCAGGAGGGAAGTGCTGTGTCAGACTAATTGTCCTTATAAGCCGCCCTGCTATCGATGACGTGTTGCCAGTGGCGATGCAAAAAAGCGATTTTAGCAGTATCTTACAACAACACGTGCGCTGATCCATGGATACAAAGCGTCAACCTAAACCGTGATAATGACAAATACTGCACCGATAGCCGGACACGTTGAAGACGTTAGAGGAGTGGCTGGCAGACGCGGCAGGAAGGTGTGGAGCCTAGCGAGTACCCAGGCCCCTAATTGAGGTTCAGCTCAGGCTCCAGCACTGCAAGCAATTACAGCGACGCCTCGTTCTCCCTGTGCTGCAGGCAGAGCCGAGAGTGCTGCAGCGCCGCCGTACCCGAGCCCTCCTCTTTCATGTTTGTCACCGATGACAGCAGGAAAGGCACATTCTAGCCAGTATGTTCTGGAAATGTGTTTGGTTACATGAAATATTCATTTCGGCGCTTGCTCTCTGGCAGCGTGCATATTTATTTGCCAGATTTTTTATGATATCTGTGACCGGCTCAGAGCAGAGATAGGGGAGTGCTGCCTCTGACGGGGGATGGAGGAGGAGAGGAGAGGCAAAGATAAGAGGTGCTGATCGTCAGAATCAAGGTTTGTTCCTTATTTAACAGGCCACTGCGTCAACGTGATCAGTGGCTCCTCGCGCTGTACGGACAATTAACCAGTAAAGTTAACACTGAAGGACAAAGCGGCAGCGAGGTCGGCGTTATCTCATATGTTCAGTGCTTCTTTTCCCAGCAGGAGGGGATGAGAGGTCAGCAGCCAAAACTGGCGATGTGCTGCGCGCACGTCCCCGCCTGGAGGTATAGTTTGGCTCGTCATCATCCTTCCTCTGTGGGGCCCAGATTGTTTTCTCAGAGCCGGAACATTTTATCCAGACATATTGATATTTGCTGCCAGCAAACGAGACTTGCAAGCTTTTCGTGTCTTTCAGAATGTCCTGTGTTTACGTGACATCATTCAGGAAAAATAAGACTTGTTATTGTTATGTACAAGCGCCAGCATTTACATACATCTTCCACTTGTTGTGTTATTATCCTTTCCTCCAGGCTGTTTGTGAATGTGTTTTTCATGGGAATTTTCCACCCTCTATTG